CCGCAACCTCCGCCTCCTGGGTTCAGGCAATTCTCCTGCCTCAGCCTCCTGAGTAGCTGGGATTACAGGCACGCGCCACCATGCCCAGCTAATTTTTTTTTGTAGTTTTAGTAGAGACGGGGTTTCACCATATTGACCAGGATGGTCTCGATCTCTTGACCTCGTGATCCACCTGCCTCGGCCTCCCAAAGTGCTGGGATTATAGGCGTGAGCCACTGAGCCCGGCCAGTCTAATGTTTCTTTATTGGTTTTCTGTCTGAATGATGTGTCCATTGTTAAAAGTAGGGTATTCAAGTCCCCCATTATTTTATTTCACTCCATCTCTGCCTTAGATTGATTATTAATTTGCTTTATATATTTATTTGCTCTGATGTTGACATATGTAGTCAGCCTTTGGAATCTGGGGGGGATTTGTTTCAGGGTGACCACTCCCCACCTGTGGATACCAAAATATAGGCATGTTCAAGTATCTTATAAAATGATATTGTATTTGTTTGAAAATTATGCACATCCTCTCATATACTTTAAAACATCTCTAGATTACTATAATACTTAAAGTAAATGCTATGTAAATAGTTTTGTAGTATTATTTGAGGAATAAAGACAAAGGAAAATAGCTGCACATGCATAGTACAGTTGGACCCGTCTACTTTTTTTTTCTGGATATTTTCAATCCATGACAGGTTGAATCTACTGTAATCAGTGGAGATGTGGTACCCATGAATTTAGATGGCCAAGTGTGTATTTACAATTATTCTATCTTCTTGATGAGTGGATCCCTTTATTATTATTTATTATCATATAATGACCTTTGTCTCCTGTTACGGTGTTTGAGTTAGTTTACTTTGTCTGATATAAGTAATACTTAACCTAGCTGTCTTTTAGTTTCTATCTGCATGGAGTGTTTTTACCCTTGTTCCTTTGTTTTTAATTTATGTATTCCTTAAGGGTGAAGTGAGTCCCTTGTAAGCAACATATCATTTGTGTCTTTGTTTTTTCTTTTCTTTTCTTTTTTTTCCTTTTTTTTGAGATGGAGTCTGGGTCTGTTGCCAGGCTGGAGTGCAGTGGCACAATCTTGGCTCACTGCAACCCCTGTCTCCCAGGTTCAAGTGATTCTCCTGCCTCAGCCTCCCGAGTAGCTGGGATTACATGCATGCACCATAACGCCCAGCTAATTTTTGTATTTTTAGTAGAGGTGGGGTTTCACTATGTTGGCCAGGATGGTCTCAATCTCTTGACCTTGTGATCTGCCTGCCTCGGCCTCCCAAAGTGCTGGGATTACAAGTGTGAGCCACTGTGCCTAGCAAAGTATAGTTATTTTATGTGATCAGTTATTATCAGCTTAAAATATCCTGCTATAAGGATAGGCCTCTGCTTTTGTTTTTCTTTGAAAATCGTCATCTCTTTTTCATTTCTGAAGGACAGCTTTGCTGGGTATGGTATTCTTCATGTGAATTTTATTTTATTTTTCCTGACAGCGGTTTATATGTGTCATTCCATTCTCTCCTGGCCTGTAAGGTCTTTGGTGACAGGTCTGCTCATAACCTTATTGGAACTCCCTCATAGGTGATTTGTGTCTTTTTTCATGCTGCTTCCAAGATCCTCACTTTGCTTTTCATTTTTGACTGTTTGATTATATTACATCTTAGGGTAGCCTTGTTTGGATTGAATGTGATTGGAGATGTTTGCCCTTCCTGAGTTTGGATATTTATATATTTTCCTGAGTGTGGAAACATTGCTGCTGTTTCTTTATGTGTTCTCTTTGTTTCTTCCTTGTCTTCTTGCACTCCTGTAACTCAAAAATTTGCTCGTTTGATGATGTCCCATGAATCCTGTAATTTTTCTTCATTTTTGTTTTTTCTCCTTTGTGTATTTCTAAATAGTCTGTTTTCAAGTTCAAAGAGTTTTTCTTTTCCTTCTCTACTGTTGATCTCAGTTGCATTTTTCATTTCTTTTGTAAGAACTGTAAAGAAAGGAAGGAATAAAAATACAAGCAGAAGTTTTAGGAAAAAGATAACTCTTGAATGATAATAAAAGGTGATTTTCTGAGAAGACCCATCAAATAGTCGACATAGGGCGGAGTCTGGTTTGCCACTGCTGTTCCACATGTTTTGTGCCCACTTGGAGGAGCAATGGGTAGAGCTTAGAATACTGATTTCAGTGTTTCTACTTGGAACTCTGCTGAGGCAACCAGAGATGGAAATGAGTTTTGACTTGTTTGTAAAACTAAAACATTCTGGTTCTAATTCTTTATAGTCAAAAGTAGAATAGCACATTTTAAGTAAGCCAGGTATCAATTCCCAGAGTCCTTTATATGGTGGTCATTATGAGGGGGTAACAAAAACCACAGAGGTTCAATCAGACTTACGGACAAACTTGACTGCATTCAAGACCTGGTCCACTTCCTAAGTAGATGATATTAGAAGAGTCATTTGTGTTTTCTGAATTTAGGTTTTTTCAGCACTAAATAGGGCTATTGTTCAGATAAATAAATGAGGATATATATACATACATATGTATATATATGTGCATATACATATATATGTATATATATGTAATGTATATACATATATATGTAATGTCTAACACATAACAGTTCCAAGTAAATAGCAGTTTGTGTTATTAATACTCATTTTATGTAGAACATATATCATTTCTTTTTTTTTTTTTCCCATTTATTTATTTTATTGCATTTTAGGTTTTGGGGTACATGTGAAGAACATGCAAAATTGTTGCATAGGA